TTATATAATATCAACAGTTTCTTTTGTTATTTATTATACATTACACAATAATTTGAATTGTAGAGTGACAAAGTTGCAATCTTCCAAACCCAATACTATTAACAAGTTATGACTTGTCAAAACAACAGTCATTTTTAAAATTTGTAGTAATATATTAGTTTAAAAAAAAATAAAAAATAAAAAATAAATAACAGAAAAAAAGAGAGAATAATGATGCTATAAAATTTGTATAAGATGCTCAATCACAAAAAGAAAACCTGTATGTTTTTCTGTATTAATAACAAGCATATGAGTAACAAAACAACTTTATTTAATATGAAATTAATTTGGCAATAATTAGATAACTTCATGGACTTATTGTATCAAAATCTGTAAGCAATAAGATACCAATAGGCCAAATTTTATAAATACTATTAAATATTATTGCTGACTTTTTAAACTTTATTTAAAATACTAAGTTTAAAAAATTTCAAATTTCAAGATCAGATATAATGTAACATAATGCAAAAGTAAAAACAATTTATAATTTAAAAATTTAACTATGAAACTGCTTTCTGTACACTAACAAAAAGTTTTTTTTACAAAATTTTACTATAATTTTAACATTCCTTAACCTACTAGTAAAATTCTAACTCAGTATAGCAAACATCAAATCTGATTAGTTAGTTAATCAGATGTAACACAAATATAATCTACATATCAGCATAACATTTTGCTACTACAAAAATAAATTTACAGCCTCCTATATAAATTCACAGAAATTGCAACAAAAAAATTTATATAGTTTACATATTACTCTATAAATTGTCAAAGTAATTTGACAATCTATAAAGTAATTCAAAAGTTAGCTAAGAAGAGTTTTTTTCTCAGTTCATTTTTGAAATGATCTGCTAAAATAGAAAATAGATACAAAATAGTTACACAAAATTTTTATCGTGAAGATACTCTTTTTTTAAGTAAAAAAAAAGAAAAAAAAAGCTTAGCACTGCAATCTGAAAGGTCAAGATGATGTTGTTTGCAATTACAAACAGTTTGGTATATCTCTTATTTCTGATCAAGTAACAATACCAAGTTCAAGTTAATATCTACATTTAGTTAGCAAAGTGCTTTATTAAAAATACTATAATCAGTTAATAGTTAATACAAAAAAAAACAAAAACTAACTGCTTATATCCCAAATATAATCTATATAGATCTATGGCTAGAAACAAAAAAGAAAAAAAGTTTAAGAAAATTTATAAATAACAGGTGAAATTTTTTGACTTGTCACTAAATATAAAAATATACAACTACTGCTTGTATAAAAAAAAAAAGATCCTAAATATATTAATACATTAAGTTATCTGCAGGCTTAAAAGAAGATTTTAAATGAAAATTTAAGACAGTTTAAAGGTAAGTTGTATGTTTTACATAGAGATGTTATTTATTTTAAGACTGAATTTTAGGAACTAGAAGTTGTATATAACAAAGTATATGTAAAGCTTGGTAAAGAAAAACTGAATAAGCAAAAATTTTTTGTTCATAATTGTATTCTGAATTACTTTTTTTTATATTAATTTATATAATTAATATTTTTTTTTAGAATTAATTCCTCTTAGCAAAAAGATTTGACTGATAGTAGAGGTGTTGTATGCAAAGCAATGAATATATAAAAAAAATCTATTTTGGATTTAAAAGAATTCAAAAAGATGCTTAGGAAAGCTAAGTCATTATTGAAGGAATTTTTAATCAATTTGTTGCTAGTACTAACTTGTAAGCTAAAAGTAATATATGAATGAAAAAAATAAAAAAAGATTAGTTTCTTTTTGTTATTTTTTGGTAGACCTTAATAATGATTTTATTAATGGAGTCTAAGCATAGAATAGATTTTTACTAAATGCATCTAAAACTTCTTTATTAGCAATAGAGACACAAACTCGTATAAGCTTGACAGTACATTATATAACTATTACAAAAAAGAAAACTCAACATTTCAAAAAACATATAACAACAATAGAAAGATTTTTAACTAATAATATAGATTTACAAAATATTTTTTTGTTTTTGATAATAATAAATTATATAATTTTTTTATAAAGTAAAAATTTGGTTGTTTTTAGCATAGATAATTTTTATAATATTCATGAATATCATTGTTATAATGTAACAAATACTTATAATATTTCTTATTTTATAATAATATTTTTAACAGCTTTGTTAGAAGTCATTCCTATTCCATTTTATAATCTCAATAATCAAGAAAAAATATTTATAATAAAAAGAATATTGATATAACTATTATTATATCAAAAGCATATATTTATTTTTTTCTTATTTAAGGCTTTGTTATACAGAATGCAAACATTTTTTTAATAACTTAATGCTAAATCAAAGACCTATAATAAATAAGTTAAATATTTTTTAATCTATAGCTATGATGATAGAATTAAACAACATTGTACTGATCAAAGTACAAAAAATATGAAACTAATTAATCTAATAAAAAACTTTCTTAAATTAACTAATAATTATATAAAGATAATTAAATGCATAATAGATACTCCTAAGATAAAAACTTATATAAAAACACAGGTATTAGTAGTAGCTATGGATTATTCTGGACAGCTTCATATGTAATGTACTATTACTAACTATAGTAAAACAAAAAATTCTAGAATATAGAACTAAATTCTGCACATTGTTCTGATAATTGAAACTTTATACATATCTTTAAATAGTTATAAAATCATATTTTTATTAAATTATATATTTTTGATAAATTTTTTCATATACAATTTGGTGAAAATAAAGTTTTGGCAAAAAACCAAAAGCTTATAAAATTAATTTGTTTTTAGAATTAGTTTTACAGTATTAGTTATAAGTACATTTATCAATTTTATAAAAATTTGAACAGTCTAAAGATTTAGAAGCCAGATATTTTATTAATTTACTGGACAATATCATTCTACTAGTTTTAAATTTTTATCTTATCATATTTTATAATAGAAATTGGATAGTATACAAGCAAGTCATGTTTTATATTTGGACAATTTTTTACCAATATCAATATTGATATTATAACAAGCCACTATTAGCATTTTTGAATAATATTTTTTTTTGATCTAACATTAATCATCTAATTTCTCATATTCTTTTAGATTTTGCTATGTTTTTAATAATTATTATATTGAAAATTTTCATAGTTTTCTTTAATGACAAATACAAAATCAAATACAATAGAATAAGTTATTTGACAGGCATGAACAATCAATCAGATGTGTGATGACAATTCATTTATTAATACTTTTTTCAAAAATTATAATATTAGATATTCAGTTAAACAACTAAAATATCTTGAAAAGAATACTGTACTTGTTTTATTAGGTCTCTTTATAGATGTATTTATGAATATTGAAAAACTAAAAACAGTTATAATAGATGCAGATTCTGAAACTGAATTATATGAATTTCTAATTCTAGCAACTAAAGTTGATATCAAGATATTATCAATAGTTTAGAATACAGCACATCCTCTTCAAGGAAACATGCATTATAATTTAAAAATTATATAGATTCTTGTAAAGTAGGTTACATTTTAATTTGTGAGCACACTTATCATTTGAATATTTTTTATTTAAGTTAAATAGTCAATGCTGGTATTGCATTGACTACCTTGTAAGCGAGATTAAAAGCAATTGTAAGGTTTTTCAAAAAACTTTGAAGACATTTAGTAAAATAGAAATAGATAAGAATGCAAAAGAGGCAGATGATACTAAAATCTGAGAAACTCATGATGGTATTAATATTAATGCTGAAAGCCTCTTATTAAATAATAATATTAATTTACAAATTGAAAAAGCAATGAATATTTTAAAGAATACATAATTATTTAATTTTTTCTTAAAAATTAAATAAATTTATTATCATTTTTATTACAATTTAATAATCAGTATTATCAAATCACTATGGCTATAATTTAAATTTATATTACAATACAATAAATGATCATTGTTTGTTTTTATAAAATTTTTTTTTATTTTTGCTTGTTTAACATTTCCTAGTTCTGCACATTTTCGATAATAAGCGAATGCCTTATGTCCGTCTTTTGTAATCCTAAATCATAAAAATAATAATAGTATGAGCGTTCATTCAGATAATTAGAAACCAACCTTAGAAATATAAACTAGTGGGTTGAGAATAAGTTTACCTGGTACCAACGTGACGACTCAACTGATTCTCAACCAATTTTAGATTTGGCTTCAACTTCTGTGTAGCATAGACTCTAAGTACTGTTCAGCATTAGCTAGAACTGTGAACATGGAGTAAGCTAGAATTAAGTTACGCAAAAAAAAAAAAGCGACGGTTCTTTTGTAAAAAACGTAGATCATATATCTGAAATATGTATAATTGAAATCAGCCAATCATAATTTAAAAAAATTAATCAGATGATCTACGAAAGCTAACCAATCACATCGAATGTTCGCTATGCTTCCTAACCCTAATCTAATAACGAAAAAATTTTTTTAATAAAATCACAATGCGCGAAATTTTTTAGACTAGGTTTACTAGTCTCATAGACTTTCTATTTCACGATTTACTTCTAGTCAACACTAACTATAAATCGGAACGACTCTAACCGTAAATTGGCATAATTGTCAACACAAAATAACTGTTGGAAAATGAGTTGTTGAAAAAATGGTTTATCGGGTCGGTGATACAGGAGTTGGTTATCCATCCTCTTCGTATTATGCTACACGGATTCACACTGGTTCACCGATAGCTATTTTAATTCTAACCAACATTAACTTAAAGTCAGGGCAATCATAACTGTAAATTGAGTCAAATTTAATTGTCGGTAAAATGAAATCCATCGATGCTACGCGTAACACTCAGAAAAAAGAAATTTATGAATCGATTTATATTAATTTGTGGAAATTTAAATGTGTCAATTAATAATTATCTGAATTTAGAATTGATGATAGTAAGGTTGCTAGTAATAAGCTAGCATTTATTTAATAAATTTAGATATTGCTGTCACCTTTGTCTTCCATTTCATTCTCTTCAAAATGATCCCATTTTTTACAGATAATATCTTTACAAAAATTATCAACCAGATCATGAATTTTTGACAAATTTTCTATAATACAATTGACACAACATTTTTTTATGGATAATTCGTTTTCTTTAAAAGTTTTTACCAATTCTTTATTTACTTCCAATTCGTAAGTAATATTTTCCCAGAAAGCTATAATAAAATTTAAACAATATTAATAATTAACATTAAATATATATTAACAATATAGATAGCAAAATGAACCTGATATTTTTTGAATAAATGTTGGCTCCAAAAGCTTTAATCTATTTGACATGTATTCTAATTTAGTAGCTAAATCGTATACTAATTTCAATCTAATAAGTTTACGAAATCTTTCTTGAATGTTCTGGTTTATTTTTAAAAATGGTAAAATATACTGTATTAGTTTAATGTTATTATCAAAAAGTGTTTGCCAATTCTTTACCTTTTTAACATCCCATTTATTGAACACAAAATTACCCTTCATCTTTTCGGAATTTTCAGTCAAGTCTTTTTTGATCTTATCAATTTCAGTAAATAATCCTTCTTGAGCATTATTATCGTTGTCGTCTTTGTGATTGGCATTGTCGACGTTGTCGGCATTGTCGTTTTTGCCGCTATTGTCGTCGGTTTTGTCGTCGATTTTGTCGTCGGTTTTGTCGTCGTTTTTGTCGTCGGTTTTGTTGTCGTTTTTGTCGTTATTGTTGTTATTGTCATTATTGTTGCTATTGCCGTCGTTTTTGTCATTATTATCGTTATTGTCGGTGTTGTCGTTGTTGTCGGTGTTGTCGTTGTTGTCGGTGTTGTCGTTGTTGTCGGTGTTGTCATTATTGCCGTTGTCGTGGTCGTCGTTGTTATTGTCATTTATGAAATTACTAAGGTTTCCATGAAATTCTTTAAACTCTTCAGCAATTTTGTTGGTTTTAAATTTACTTAGGTCTTTATAGAATTTGTCAAACTTTTCAGCAACTTTATCATAATCAGCATAATCTTTAATCCCTTCAAATAAATCTTTATTGATTTTATAAACTAATGAGTTTGTTTCATTCTCACTAGTTGACTGTTGTTCGTGTAGAAGTTGTCTTGCATCAATAATCATGGTATTCATATTAATCATTAGCGAGGATGCTGAAGCAATCATTTGGTCAAAATTAACCTTCTTCCAATTTTCCAGTTGATTTTTAATTGTTTCACTATATTTTTCGTAATAATTAAAAATTTCTGATGGTATAGTTCTAATTTCTGCAGCAAAATTCTCATCAAATTTCTTGATCAACGATAATTCTGAATTAATAATGCTCATAAAGTCATTGAAATTCAAAGAATTTTTATTATCTTCCTGTTGGTTCGATTTTCTTAGTAGTCCATCTACTTTTTCTACTACTGTACTTAATGCTGTATCGAAATCACCTTCAATATTTTCTGGCAATTCATATTCATCAACTGCTATAACTATCTATAATATAGAAAACAGAAATAATTAGTTATTAAAGATTTAACAATGTTTTGATTTAATAAATGAGTATTTTTTTAAAAATTATACTCACGTGCTGTAATATTTAAAAATTATTGAGTGCGCTGATTAATTCAAAATAATTATTGGTTTAAATTTTTATACACACCGTCTATAATTTATATAGTTGATAGGAAATGATTGTAAATATTATGTTTAATAGAACATTTTCGCATGCAACGTCTGACGAAACTTTGATGAGTGATGAAGTTCTTAACAAAAGTACACGATTAAATACAGTAGTTGGTTTTGAATCATTATGTTGATAGGATTTATCACCTGATTACCTACGAAAGCAGAGCAGAAATTCTTTAGCAAATTTTAAATTTATTGCGATATAGTTCTTATTTCAAAATTTAGTTAAAGAATTTCCACTTTTTGCCCAAATAATAAAGGTCACACTATTTTATAACCTTTGCTTAATGCAATATATCATTGAAATTATATAGAAATTCATGTTAATGCTGCCAAGTGGAAACCGGAATTCTAAATATTGAGTTTTTTTTTTTACCAAACAGACACGAGTTTGGATGATATGATTAAAATAAAAAAAAAACAACTGAATTATTCTAATAATTTTGATTGAATCGACCATAATCCGTATTCTGTTGTGTAAAAAACTTTATATTTAAAATTCTTTTGTTTTTTTCATATACGTACAGCTAGTCTAATACTCTTGTTATTTGCAATGTAATTAATTATAGATGTTAATTGCAATAAATACATGACAATAGTTACAGGTTTCATCAATCACCATGTGTTTCGTCGTTTGTTATATGCTGTTTACCAATTCGTCAATCAAATTGTTTGGCGAATTGTTCATCAGGTCATTACTTTTAAGTTTATACTTACGTCCTTTATATAATTAATTTGAGTGAGTTTAATCGAAAATTTTTTTTAATGAGTATTATTAAAATTTATACTCACGCCCTGATTGTTAAATTAAAGCAATTAATATAGTGTACAATACAAAGTTTATGTTTAAATAATCAATGAAAAAATTCATACTCTTACTTTCTGAATTTATAGAACAGATTAGAATGTTAGAAATCCTTATGAAATTCTTATTTAATAATTAAATATTATTGAAACTATACGCACTTTCTGGTAATTGTATAATTATTTAGAACATTTAAATATAAACTTTATATCAAAATCTTGAACATTTAAAATTTATACTTACAAACTATCGATAAAATCATTTGAAAAAGTTAGTATTGCGATTTAAAGTTAGCAAATAAAAATTACTAAAATTTATACCTACCTATAATTAATAAAATAAATTATGTATGTTTTTAATGATATGAAATTTATGCTCAAAAATGTAAGCAGCTAAATTTTACACTTACTCCCTAGCAATTAATTAAAATGATTTTATTATCGTAATCTTATTAAGTTCATAAATAAAATTTATACTTACTCTCTAGCAATCAAGATTGATATATATATCCAATATAAATAATTATCGTTATTTCACAATAAAATTTATTCAATAACAATTTATATTTATACTTACTTCCTAATATTTATGCAGTTACTTTAAGTATTAATTATTTATAAAATAAACAAATATTATTTATTGCAAGTCTATACTCACAATCTAAAAATTTAAATAATTAATTTAATAATTCTCTATAATATATGATAAATAATAATTGTCTAACATCGATATAATCACTCTTAATATAGTCGCAATTAAAATATTAAAAAAAGACTTTGTGGTCGTCAATTTAGTAAATATATCGAGGTTTGATTTCAAAATTTTTTACTCACTTTCTAATAATTTGTGTAATAATTATTGTTATTTTTCACGGCAGTTTACCCATATTTATTATGAAAAAAATATTAATTAGTGAAGATACGTGTTATCTTCCCTAATACTAGAGATAAACATAGTGTAGGGAGTTGTCCGCACACATGATTTTCGGGCTTCTGTCCGACCCATCACTGTTATAGTACATTTCCTTGACTGAGTCGGACTTGATATGATCACATGTATGGATAATCTCACTACAGTCAAATAATGTTAGTACAGTATCATTACCAAAAGTCAATGTCAGTTATGTTTGGTGAAAGTTAATTATGATAGAAATAGCATTTATATTAGGATTAGAGATTAACGACATATGCAGTGAAATTGCACGGGGAAAACTTTTAAATAAGAGATCTTTGACAGAACGAACGTTTGTAATTTCTTGATCGAACTATATTACGTGGTAGTAACTTTTGGTAGTGATACATACTGGGAGAAATGTCCAAAGATTTCATCATATTTTAATAATGTAAAGTTACGTGAATACACCTTTTTTTTAGATGATTCCAAATGATGTGATGTATTATGGTGTACCCACGCACTATAATATCCTAAATAAATGTTTACTTACTCCCTATCGATTTTGATAAATTAGAACACATTAATGTATTATAGAATTCAAAATAAAATAATTTAATTTATACTCACTTTCTGGTGATTTATATAATTAGCATTATAGTGATTTATGATTTAGTGTAATCGATTATAACATTGATTAATTCAAAAAATAAATCTTAATAAATCGTACTAATTTATACTCACTATCTGTAATTTGTATAAGCGATTAACACATGGATCAATTCATTATAATATTATAATTTACCATGTCAACATTAATAAATGTTATTGAAATTTATACTCACAGCCTGTAATTTATATAACCAATTAGAGCCAATTATAGTTTAACAAATAAATATGAATAAAAATTATTGAAATGTATACTCACAAACTGTATTTTATATAATTAATTAGAGCATTAATTAATTCATTATAAATCATAATTTAACAAAATACTATTCAAACTTACATCCTGTAATTTGTATAATTAATTAGAGCTTTAATTAATTCACTATAAATTGTGATATAAAATTTATACTCACGAACTGTAATTTATATAATCATCATTAAGTAAAGCATTGATTAATTCATTATAACATTATGATTTAACAAATAAATATTAATATTATTGAAATACAAACTCTCTGTAATTTATATATAATTAATTAAAGTATTGATTAATTAATTATAAATTATAATTAACAAATAAATATTAATAAAGAATTTTATTATTTTGCGCAGATGCACCCCATAAAATCAGGTGTAATGTGAAAACCATTATCACGGTAATTTAAAGTAATGGTCGGCTTTAAGATCGGTTAGAATAAAATTTTCAGTAAAGGTTAAAAATATGCAACAAAAAACCTTTTTATTAAGTAAAATGATGAGCTACAAGCACTTTTTAGAAAACCTATTTTTTAGATTTCACATTATATCTGATCTTATGATCTAATTAGTTAATAAATAGGTGCACATACGCTGAATTACCCATTAATGATATTATTGAATTTATACTCACATACTATATTTCATATAATTAATTAGAGTACCAGTTAATTCATCATAGAAAATTATAATTTAACAAATAATTATTGTCTAATAAATATTCATACTCACTCCCTACAAGTTATATAATTGATTAGAATATTGATTAATTCTTATAAAATTATAATTTAACAAATAAATATTGTTGAAATTTATACATACTTCCTGTAATTTATATAATCAATTAGTGCATTGATTATTTCATTATAATATTATAATTTAATAAATAAATATCATTGAAATTTATACTCACATACTGTAATTTATGTAATCGATTAGAGTATTTATTAATTCATTATAAAATTTATATAATTTATTAAAAATATCATTTAAATTTATACTCACGAACTATGTTTTATGCAATCGATTAGAACATTTATTTGTTACAAAATTAGAATTTAACAAATAAATATAGTTGAAATTTATACTTGCTGTAATTTATATATTTTATTAGAACATATATTAACCCATTAATTATAATTTAATAAATATTATTGAAATTTATACTCACAAACTATAATTTATTTAATTAATTATTGATTAATTCATTATAAAATTATATTTTGACAAATAAGCAGGTACTAATAAATAATTCAAATTTATGCTCACTTTCTGTAATTAATATAATTAATTATTGATCAATTTATTATGTAATTATAATTTAACAATGAAATTTATACGTACTGCCTATAATTTATAAAATCAATTAGAGCATTAATTCATTCATTTTAAAATTATAATTTAACAAATGAATATTATTGAAATTTATACTCACAACCTGTAATTTATATAATTAATTATTCAATTTATTATGTAATTATAATTTATCAAATAAACATTATTGGAATTTATACTTACTCGCTATAATTTATAGAATCAATTAAAATATTATTAATTCATTCATTTTAAAATTATAATTTAACAAATGAACACTAGCAAAATTTATACTTACTTTCTATAATTTATATAATCGATTGGTGCATTAGTTTATTAATTGAAAATTATAATTTAATAAATATTATTGTATTTAAATTTATACACACATCCTGTAATTTTATATAATCAATTAAACCAATTCATTTATTGTAAACTTATAATTTAACAAATTTAATAAGTATTGTTAAAATTTATACTCACTGCCTGTAATTTATAATCGATTTAGCATTGATTAATTCATTATAAAATTATAATTTAAAACAAGTATTGTTAAAATCTATACTCACTAACTATGATTTTTATAATTGATTAGAGCATTGATTAATTCATTACAAAATTATAATTTAACAAACAAATCTTATTGAAATTTATACACACTTCCTGTAATTTTTATAATCGATTAGAAGATTGATAAATTCATTATAATTTAACCAACAAATCTTATTAAAATTTATACTCACAACCTGTAATTTATGTAATTGATTAGAAATTAATTTGTTCGTTATAAAATTATGATTTGACGAATAAAATATATACTTACTGCCTGTAATATATAATCGATTATAGAATTGATTAATTTATAATTCAACAAATAAAATATTAAGTATTACTAAAGTTTACTTACATGCTGTAATTTATATAATCGGTTAAAGCATTGATTAATTCATTATAAATTATAATTTTATCAAATAAATATTATTAAATGTTATTAAAAAATTTATACTCACTGCCTGTAATTTATAATCAATTATAGCATTGATTAATTCATTATAAAATTATAATTTAACAAATAAATATCAATAAGTATTATTAAATTTACTCACATACTGTAATAATTTATATAATCGATCAGAGCATTGATTAATTCATTATAAAATTATAATCTTTAACAAATAAATATTAATAAGTGTTATTAAAATTTATACTCACTGCCTGTAATTTATAACCAATTATAGATTGATTAATTCATTATAATTTAACAAATAAATGGTAATAAGTATTATTAAATTTACTTACATCCTGTAATTTTTATAATCGATCAGAACATTGATTACTTCATTATAAAATTATACTTTAACAAACAAATCTTATTGAAAATTATACGCACTTTCTGTAGTTTTATAATCGATTAGAATATTGATTAATTCATTGTAAAATTATAACTTAACAAACAAATCCTATTAAAATTTATACTCACGAACTGTCATTTATGTAATTGGTTAGAGATTAATTTATTCGTTATAAAATTATAATTAACAAATAAATATTAAGAAAAAGTATTAAGATTTATACTCACTGTCTGTAATTTATAATCAATTATAGCAATTATAAAATTATATAATTTAACAAATAAATATTAATACATGTTATTAAACTTTATACTCACTGCCTGTAATTTATAATCGATCATAGCATTGATTAATTCATTATAAGATGTTAACAACTAAATTTTAATAAATATTGTTTATTTATACTTACTATCTGTGATTTTTATAATAGATTTGGGTATTGATTAATTCATAATTTAACGAACAAATATGCATGAACAAATATTATTGAAATTTATACGCACCGACTATGATTATGTAATCGAATAAAGCATGGATTAATTCATTGTAAAATTATAGTTCAACAAAAAAATATTTATAAAATTATAAAGTTTATACGTACACTCTGCGATTTACATAATCGATTAAATAATTACAAAATATAACTTTACAAAAAAATTAATAAATATTAATGAAATTTATATTCACATTCTGTAATTTTACATAATTGATTAATTATAAAATTATAACTTCAAAATAAATAATAAGCATGAAATTTTACTAACTTTCTATAATTATATAATTGATTAGAACATTGATTAATTCGTTGTAAAATTGTAATTTGACGAATAATATTAGTGAGGTTTGCAAATTTTGTGAATTTGAAATCATTAAAAAAAAAGGAATCACACGAGTGCTAGACGATTTCGGATGTTTTAAAATTGCTCCAATGTGAAAATTTCACATCTAGATATCTGAGTGATCACCTAACAATCATGTGAAATTTTACAATAAGATATTATTAAATTTATACTCACTGTCTGTAATTGATATATTCGATTAAAGAATTGATTAATTCATAATTCAATAATATTCGAAATTATAGTTAAATAAATAGCTGCTATTGAACCAACCAACTATAACAGATCAGAGTATTAGTCATCGTAATACAGTAATTCGTTAGAAATTTTGATTTATACAAAAAACTTACTTCCTGCAATTTATGTATGTAAAGTATTAATTATTTTTGATGAATTGCGATAATGAAGATGGAAATTTTACTTACGTACTAAAAAATTCATATATTATCAATTGCATTAGAATGTAATACTAATTTAATAAATGTTGATTGAAATTTATACTCACTTTCTATAATTTAAACATTGACAGATTAATTCATTGTTTGATTTATTGTAGCAGCTTATTCTGAAATTGATATATGCAAACATCTAGAGATATGCATTTAAGTCTATAATAACTACTAAAATTCACATCACGCTTATTAACAATACCAACACTAAATCCTAACCCAACCATAAGCAATAAAAATCTTAAAATTTCACGTTAAAGCAGACCAAAGTTTCAGAATAAGCTGCCATATTTATTACGAAATCATCAATTTTGTTAAATAAATGAATACAATTTAAATATATACTCACTTTCTAATAATTCATGAAATAAAAAATAAGAATATCAATTATATAATTACTAAACGCAAATGAACTTTAAAATACCATTACATACCAGTGGCAAAAACGATTTTACTATCTCTTCGTATTCTTCTTTGTATTTTCCATTGTATTTGCTTTTGTTTTGATCCAATATTTCTATTTGTTTACGATCAATAATACACCTGGGAATTTCATTTGAGTATGAGTATAATCGTGTTGCATGTTTCATCATGAGCTTAAGTTGATTATTTGGAAAAGTCAATGTGTTCAATTCATTCAATTCGTTTAGTTTGATTCCTAAATTTAAATATACGTTTATTGATAATTTTAATATAAAGAATCAGCATTATAATTTTGAGATTTACCTTTAAGGTCTAAAATCATAGGTATAAATCCTAAATTGATAAAATAAATTAATTAATAACCGATATACTATTCTTTAACTGACAATATTAAATACCTTTTAGGATTTCAATAATGGAATTCTCATCATCCTTTTCATTTTGATCCAGCAAACAAACTTTTTCTAAAATATTTAATTTATACGAAATATTTAATTTGTAATATTATTATTTATAACTGTATTAATTATTATTATGTTGCATTACCAAAATCATTTTCAACTTCTTTTAACATATCATCCTTTATCTGCTCATCTTTGATCACCCCAATCACAATAGGAATTTTATCAGCTACATCAGCTTCATCAGTTGTGTCAGTTTTATCGGTTGTGTCAGTTACGTAGCATCTATTCTTATATTCATCCAAAAGTCCTTTTATAATATTAGAGCGAGGAATACCGTTAAAAAGTATGGCACCATCGATATAATTATAATAACTATTATAAAATAAGATAAATAAAATTGTTTTCTATAAAATATACCAAAAATTCTCGAAAAAGCGGGTATGGTGTTATTTCGAATTTCGGCCAGAATTAAGCTTAATTCTGGCCAAAATTCGAAATAATGCCATGCCCACTATTTCGTGAACTTACGATATTTATTAAAATATAGTAACTTACTTAATATCAGGCCTGAGGGTCCATCCTATAAAAAAAGTTAATAAATGCATTATTAGATATTAGATTTGCAATGTGGATGCCATTAGCCATAGATTACTACGTATTAATTAGATTTTGGGCGTATAATTTTATTAAGAAATTCCAAATCCACTTAAATTCCGTACTCATTTACAATATATTCATAACCATAAAATTGTATTATCGCATGATCGTATAAGAGCAACCCGATATATTCGATCACCGATCTGCAAGCTAGCCAATCTAATTTTTGATCAATTTTCAATCCAAAAAATTTCGCTATTTAATTAAAATTTCAAGTCAGGAGTTTCTGGTAGCGAAATTTTTTGGATTGGTAACGCTAACACGGTCAATAACAGTTAATAATACCTGTTTTCAAAAGTTCTACTTTAATAGTATAATTGTTCAAATGAACGGATATGTTTGTAACATTTACACGCAAAATTTCATTATAATTTTCGCGATTTGGTGAGCTATCCTGTTCACAATCCCAACCAACTAAAAATAAAATAATATCAATAAGCAAATATAGAATTATCTAAGTTACAAAGGTACAAATGTATCATACTTCTCAAACAAATGTCATATTCTTCATTATTCCCGTTCATCTTTGGAGAATCATCTTTATTATCTTTGCTCATCTTTGAAGAATCGTCCATTCTGTAGTCTCTAAAATGCGTATTGTAAGACTTACAAGGCTGCGTTTACAATTCCTACGTATATATAAGTTCTTGTTCAATAATACTGAAATATATTTGTCAAACGTTGTTCAACTTATGCAAGTACAAAAACTGTAGTTCATTCATTGTTGATAAATAACGTTGAGGTTTACAGGAAATCACAATATTAGAGTTATGGCTAACGCTAAGGAAATTACCAAATACTTTTTTGTATGCACTGAGTATGTACGTATGTAACACGTATCTTATTGAAGTCGATAATTTAGGAAATGTTGGGAAATGTAAAATATTTACAAGTTTGGACGTACATGGGTAGTTTTGCCAGCAAGTATACTACTGTGCATCAAACCTAAAAACCACAATCTCTTTATGGAGACAATTTACAAGCAAATAGCATATCGGTATTTCCTAAATTGTTAGCATCTATAAAGTGTGTACGTAAATACCCTATTGAAGTTGATAATTTAAGAAAATTCTTCTCTTCAATGTAGCGTACTTTCAAGTCAAACAATATTTATGTTATGCACAGTTATCACTATATAATATTTAGGACTTATCGTTATTATACTTTGTCTTTATAAGGAGTGATTGTGATTTTTAGGTTTCTTACACAATGCAAGAAATTTGAAAGCCACAATCTCCTTATAGAGACAGGTATAATTATTGGCCTCAATAAAGAACTGTAGAATATAAATTTTTTTGATTTCGATAATTTAAGAAATATAATATTATATATACTTTGACTTTATAAGGTGTGAATGTGATTTTTAGAATTTCTTGTCAGAACGTCCATATGTACCTATGAACTGTACTGTATTTTCTCATAGAGACGCCAAACAAGTCAGGTTAGGAATTGATAACATCGTATAGTAAATTTCCACGGGGAACATTAGTAAATGGATTATAGAGGCATCTGTTATGTAGATATTACACAAACGAAAAAAAAAACAAGAAAACATGAAATTTGCATTCAAACTGTCTTCTGTGTTTTAAAAAAAATTCCTTACAAAATTTCAGTATATGCTTTACTAAAGCCCTAAACTCACCCTAACACTACCTTGACTCTAACATACTTTTAATCAACATTAATTTTCAAAGAATACTGTAATAACAATAATGATGATTGTAGATGCATTCGACCAACGTTGCATAGCATGGCTTAAAATACGCTTATGCATGATTTTTGTTAATCTTTAACTTCTTATGTTTATTTGCACTCATAAAAATTTCGTCATCTGAAAGTTATCTTTAGGATCGGATTTTCGTTCTTAGATTAATATTATTGCTAGGGTTGATGGAGCAAATATAATTTTAATAGTCCACCATGGTGAACCACCTTCACCAGCAACTCGAATTATAGCATAATGAATTTCCAAGGAAAACATAAACAATTTAAATTATTTATTACTATAGGTTATGCTGATTTAAATTTTTAAAAAATGGATTTGATTAAAGTTGTAAATAACGATAAAAAAGCTACAAAATAAGGAAATATTGGTTCCAAATTGCTACTGGCTTATTCAATGCTTATGTATGTACATATATGCTGTCACACATAAAATGTGATTTATTTGTCAAACTTTTATTATACAATGCTAAATCAAATCTACAACCATACAAATATGTATACTATTCCTTACATAAATATCGCACAATTTGAAATTATCACATCACACAAAAATGCGGACTCTCTACATCCATTTTATTGTAATCACGCAAAATGCGTGGTAGAGAATACATAAACGGACGTGGCAATTATCAATGAACAGGATGACACTAATTTATTATAAATACTTGCATGATTGATTATGCGTACCAAACATTTATCTAAACATTCATTTATATCAAAAATTCTTAAATGATAAAAATATCTGAGAAAATAAAAAAAATCGAATTAATATCAGATGAAAATGACAAAACTTTTAATTGGAAAGAATTATATTCTAATATACTAGAAAAGTTTGAAATAAAATTCGTACCAGAATCAATACCATCAGAATTAAAGCCGTCAAAAGTACAGGTATTGTAAAATATGCTTATTTTTCGTGTATTCATTTGTTTTATAAGCCAAATTTTAAATTTTTTTCCTTAATAGATCTTTGAATGTGACTTGGTCATTAATCTTAACGATGTATTCAAAAAGCATAAGAATGAAAAGAATGAGATTAATGCACACTTTATTCGTATTTATGCTGATGTAGTTCAGCTTTCGAACAATTCTTCAGATAATCCTTCGAACGATTCATCTTCGGATAATTCTTCACCGGGCAATTCATCTTTAGATAGTTCTTCACCTGACAATTCATCTTCGGATAGTTCTTCCTCGGGCAATTCACCTTCGGATAGTTCTTCAGACAATCCTTCACATAATCTAGAAATTAAATTAACAAAAAACCATACCGTTATTTTGATAGTTGCAAGACGATTTGAAGTCAAGCAAGGATATCAAATTTCTATTAATTTCGAGGAAGGGATGCATTTCGAATTATTGATATATACTAAGTACATGCCAGAACTTTTCGCTAAAATTGAAAAAAAAGATGATAAACAATATCAATTACTGATTTATACAGCATCAGAACCTATAAGTAAACATGAAGAAAAAGATCTACAAATTCATAAAATAAATAGTTCAAAAATCGGTGGATTAATTTCTTTACATAGCGAAAAATCTAAAGAAAAACCTATTCTAGACTTTAAAGAAATACCTAATTTCGATAGCATAATTCTTCAAAGAAAGTCGTTCATTAAAATATTGCGATTTTCTTTACAAATTGCGGTCGCTTTATCTTATAATGATACGGATACTACTTATAATGATACTTATGATAGTACCAATGTTACACAATCAATACTCAAGTGGATTACTGATATATGCGAAAAAATGAAAGACAAACCGGAAAATGAATTTGAAATGACAAAAAAGTTATATAATAATGCAGTAACTATGCAAAAACAATTAAAAACAAGAAACGATAAAGAGAATAGTAATTTTAATTTTGTTCCACATCTTAAAATGAAAGATTACAAAGATCAGATGTATAAGTTGTGGCAATTTGCAGAAAGCTATGAAAAACGATATTATGAAATTATGAAAAGTGAGAGTATTGATAAACAAAGGTTAGAAGAGTTAAATGATAGACTACTGAACCATAAGGATACAGCCGAAATGCATACATTTTTAAAAGAAGCAGAAAATAAAAAACTTGAATCGGCAGAAAACTTGAAGAAAAAAACTGAAGAGAATCTTCAGGTATGTTTTACAATACTTATATAATAAAATTTTCGAAAAAAAAACGCCATTTTTAAAAAAAATAATGAAAAAAAACAGGAAAGAAAAAAACACACAATAGAAGCATTCGAAAAACTTGGAACAGGAATTGACACTTGGCTGAAAGAACAAAAAGATTCTGCAAAAAAAGAATTATTTTTCGCTGTCGTTGATTTATCTTTATGTATTGTTAACGTTGTTATGTCGCCTGGAAACATTACAAATGCGGTTAATACTGCAAAAGGTGCAATCGATGCAGCTAAGAATGTCATAAGTGATATGAATATGAAAGAAATTGAAAACTTTGAAACTACGGCTCAAGATGATATTCAAAAGGGCCAGGAACTATTTAATAACCTAAGTAGTAAGGCTAATAAAATCGTAGATATTACAAAGAAACTAAAAAGTACCGAAAATACTGCCAAAGATCTACATGTACAAACGAAGAATATGATTAGTGAAATCACATCATTAGACGAAAAAATTGACGAAAGGTAATTCAAAATGCTCAGATATGATAAACCTTCGAAATTAAAATTAACAAATTACTGTTATTTTCCATAAGACTTGAAACAGATCAAAAAGGGATCATGCTAGACATTGATTTGGAACCAATTAAGGAGGGCGTTGATAATCTGTATAAATTCTTAGAAGTACTTATGCCCATTTCTTTTATCATATAATTCAGTTAACTTCTGATAATTACTAATTTTACAATAATTTAATAGTCGATTGAAAGTGATATTGATGGTGCCAAAGAATATTTAGAAGCCTTAAACAAGTATGTCGGATTTATTGACAAATATGCTAAAACCAAGATCGACGCAAATGAAAAACGTGATACCGTTTTACAATATGAAAAGCAAGAAGAAATAGATGGAAAAATAGAACATCGGCTTAAAGAAAGGATTCAAACACTCGAATTAGAAACTAAATCACGAAATAATGAATTTAAACTTTTATTATTCGAACACCTTATCAATATTAGATACTATATGACTTTATTCATGGAAAAGTATTGTCATGCTTTCAGATATTGGTCCCTATCTGAATCCAAATTGGAACTTTCAGTTCTTAAAAATTTTACTGAAATCGATGTTAATATAATGTTTAAAGATCTTGATGACATTTCCAGTAGTAAACCTCAACTAAAACGGACTACTATCGAATTTGATGAAAAAATTTATATTGATAAATTCAAACAAGATAAATCTGTTGAACTTACGATTATGCCGGATTGTCGTAAATTAAATAAGTACGCTCGTCTAAGAATTCATGCATTTAGAGTATATTTAGATGGTGCTGGACCTGAAGGAGAACAAATTGCTCTTTTTATTAGACATTCTGGCAAATTTTCTGACAGAGATAAAAAAAATCAAACATATGAATTTATGTCAGAATCTTCAAAAAGAGGATTTGAATATAGAGTATATAATGGTTATGATCACAAATTTGATATAGACCCAAAATATATAGATCTCGATAATATATACTATGATGAACAAGATAAAGAGTATCACTTTACTCCAACGCCATTTAGTCAATGGACAATTAGCCTTCGTAAGAATGACGAAGGAAAAGAACCTGATCTATCCAAATTAAAATCAATTAATATTCATTTGATAGTATATTGTTATTGTGATGTAGAGGAATAACACAAGGGAACTAGTCAAAATCCCAAGTTAGTGTATAAAGTTAACATTAGCTACAGTTCTGGTCGATTTTTTGGGGGATTTTGACCAAAATTCATAAACAAAATGATTTATAATTTGTTGAATTTTATATTCTTATGTATCAACCTGAAGGTTCGAATTTTTTCTATTTTATATATTTTTTTTCTTTATTTTATTATTAGGATCATTTAACTCTAAAGGTGAAATTCAATGAATATTATTTCTCAAAAAACCGGGTTTTTTAGAGTATTAAATCAATTGTTCAATGCTTAAATGCTCTAATCCAACGTAAAAGTGTAGTTCTAGTATAAAATTTGAAATAAATTTTCTATGAATTTCCTGTATATTGGTTAAAGCATGGAAAATGACTAGGCCACATATTATAAAAGATTTATCTAATAACAATACTATAAATTGCCTGCACAAAAAAGAAAAGCAAAAAATTAATCAGTTAAACTTACATAACGAAAATTATAATTCCAATTATAACTAAACTTCAGTAATAAAATATTGAAAAAAGAACTTACAAAATATTAGTATCAAATTTAAATTTCTTAAAAAGTTCTTTCAACACGAATTATTGTCCAAATGGTTGCATTTAACTTTAGACTTTTACAATGAATGCAAGCTGCAGTTATATGTTGTAATCGCAAAACGGCGAGTCAGTCGCTAATCGGTCGGGTTCCTCGTGTTACCACTTATGAAGGTTAATTCCGGTCGAAAGAGGTGCGTTAGATTTGGCGAGTGGTTAACAAGATTTTGGATCGGGTTTACTTAATCGTAGGGGGGCTCAGGGTTGGTTATTCAAGATATGCGAACACACTTTTTGTACCTTACGGGTTAGGGACAGATTTTTGTTATAGCAATACAATTACTGTTTAATAAAGATACTGTTTACAAGCAATTTTACTATGAGTGTTTAAGCAATGTATTATGTATTCGCTAAGGGGAAGTTATCATTCCCGAAGGGCCTTTCGGCCTTTACTTATAATTGTCTATTTCTATTAACATTCTGCGATGCATACGACTGATGCTACCTAAAAGCTATCCGTCATATCCGTCATATGCGACCGATGTGACTGATGAGACCTATCGGATGCAACGGATGTGACAGATGCGATCGATCTTTTCCTAATTGGGATATGGCCCCAAGCGGTCAGGGTCCATCCGGGTCCACAATGTATTGTTAGACCCGGAACACATGAGCATACGATCATCAAGTTACTGCACCTGGAAAATGTGTACCGGGTTGAGTCCGGTTGATGGTTCGGCTGATAGTCCGGATGATCATCCGGTGTGAGCGGTAGGATGATGACGTCGGAAGCTCGGTTAGGCAGGTGGTCGACGTGGCACAATAATAGAATAACGTTAT